AAGAAGACACAAAGATACAAGATTGATCAGATGATTCTTCAGAAATATAACATAAGTTGCTACACTGATATCCGAAGGTAACCCTGGCAATAAATGATCAAGTGAAGGAAGACCAAGTTCACCACTTTGAAGTCAAATAAAGATTGCATCAGCATTCATGCATTCATAAGAATATCATTTACACAATAGACAATGCATTACATTGATACATCTGAGTGCATTCAAACATGAAGTTTTACAGATCTTCGTAAGAACAAGAAGATTCATGGTGAAAAATACCTTATAAGAAGAAGGTATTCAAAACCACAAATGCAGGAATCACGCAAACATCTGAAGAATAGATAGACGTAATTCACAAGAATGAGCATTATCTTTATTTTGGGGCATGTTACCCAATCAACAAGTTATTTCAATGAGAAAACGATTTCCAAAATTTCTCATTTAATCTTTTCTAAAATGAAATTGTTGAAAAGTAAGAAAACGATTTCCTTAGTTTTTTTACTTAGTAAACTATTTCCAACATCCGTAAGCCCTGCAGTGCAGGATGTTTTCAAAAAGCCTTCTGGAGCTTTTTGATATTTTCAAAGCCTTCGGGTCATCTGTAAGCCCTTCAGTGCATGATGTTTTCAAAAACCCTTCGGGTCATTTGTAAGTCCTTCAGTGCATGATATTTTCAAAAACCTTTGGGTCATCTGTAAGTCCTTCAGTGCATGATGTTTTCAAAACCTTCAGGTCATCTATAAGCCCTTCAATGCATGATGCTTTCAAAAACCTTCGGGTCATCTGTAAGTCCTACAGTGCATGATGTTTTCAAAAACCTTCGGGTCATCTGTAAGTCCTTCAGTGCATGATGTTTTCAAAAACCTTCAGGTCATCTGTAAGTCCTTCAGTGCATGATGTTTTCAAAATCTTCAAGTCATCTATAAGCCATTCAGTGCATGATGTTTTCAAAAATCTTCGGGTCATCTGTAAGTCCTTCAGTGCATGATGTTTTCAAAAACCTTCGGGTCATCTGTAAGTCCTTCAGTGCATGATGTTTTCAAAAACCTTCGGGTCATCTGTAAGTCCTTCAGTGCATGATGTTTTCAAAACCTTCGGGTCATCTATAAGCCCTTCATTGCATGATGTTTTCAAAACCTTCAGGTCATCTGTAAGCCCTTCAGTGCATGATGTTTTCAAAACCCTCGGGTCATCCGTAAGCCCTGCAGTACAGGATATTTTCAAAAAGCCTTCGGGAGCTTTTTGATATTTTCAAAACCTTCGGGTCATCTGTAAGCCCTTCAGTGCATGATGTTTTTAGGACCTCTGGAATGATGTTTTCAACTTTTCAGTCTTACTCAAAAGAAATCAAATGAAAAATTATTGTTTTTTTGTCTTTGCTCTATTCTTGTTAACACAAGAATGAGCAAAGAGGGGCAGCTATAAACACTAATTTTTCATTTTACTTAAATTATTATTATTAAAATTATTATTATAAATATTATCATTATATTATATATATTATATCATTATTAAATAATTGTTACAAGCCCAAGATCCCAGGTCTGCTTTACACAACCAGTCCAGGCCCAGCAGAACCCTTATAGGGTTTGCTTCATCTTATCCCAGCCACCGCAGATCCTCAGCCGTTGGATCTAATCTGATCCAACAGCCCTGATGCAGTCCAGCAAAGAAATCCTAGGGTATCATAACCCTAGGGCCACGTCCCAGCCGCTGCTGCTTCCAGAAGTCTCCAACCGCCTCTTCAACTTCCAGACGCTGCTTCCAAGGCTACGTCTCTGCCAGGTGGTCCAACACCATGCCACTGCCTCGCTGAAAATTCAAGAAGCACCACGAAGCCATACACATGTTGAAGCTATTCGGTGAGTCACCACATAGTTCGGTGACTCACGGAACTCAACCCTTGTACTCGGTCCGACAAGAGCCTCAACGAGGCTATAAAAGCCACCAAATCCTGCAAAAGAAAGAGACACACGGTAAGAAAGACGAGGACAGCAAGCAAAGACAGAGGAAAAAGAGGAGACCAACAACCAGCAAACCAAGATACGGGAAATAAACGAGAGAAGGGGAAGAGACTTACCAACATCGTCGAAGCCTCTACTCGCCACCATACACCTCTAAAGCACTCGAAAACCGGAGGATAAACTGTAGATTTCTCCGATTAGGAGCTTTTTAAAGAAAACAGAGGTCGTATTCGGCCTTAGGAGGTCGAGATCTATAATCTAAGATAATTTGGGAATTTTTGACCACGGTGGTGGTGGCCGGTGGAGCTCGTGGCGGCGTGTGGCTGCCGGCGGCTTCCAGAATTCCCTCAGACGAGGGAAATATAGAGAGATGAGAGAATCTCTCACAAAAGAGAGAATCAGAAAGAAAGAAAGAAAAGAGAGAAATGGCCTTTGAAAGCCGGTTTTAGGGTATTTATACCCTCATCAAAACGGTCATCAAAACGACACCGTTTTGATGAGGGGCCTGGGCATAATTTCACTAACGGCCAAACCATATGCGCAGTCATCCCAGTTTGTAACCTTTTCAATTTAGTCACCAGAATTATTTTTCTGGATATTTTAATTTATTATATTTTAGTCATTACCAGCTTATATTTATATTTAAGGTAAAATAACCTATTTAGCCCATATTAATTTTAATAATTTTATTTTTATCCCGTATAATTAAATAGGTTAAATTAGACTATTAATACCTAGTAGTTTATAATACTTCGAATTGGGCCCCTTAATTTTATTAATTAAACATTTTAATCCCAAATAAATAGTTAAGGTTAAATTATGAGGTTAGGACATAGATTTCTTCAATATTTTGAATTAGTATATTTAATTTTAATATTTTATATTTTGATTCTGTAATTTTAATTTTAATTTTGATCATTATTTCATTATCATTTATATATCTAATTTATTATTTTATTTATCATTATTTTTAATTATATAAATATATTTTATTAATATTTATTTATTTTCAATATCAAAGAAAAGGGCAGTCTTAATATAATTGGATGTCCTATTCTGGTATTTTAAATAATTAAATATTATAAAAATTATAATTTAGTTTTATTTAAATTATTTTTAAGAAAAATTATTACATTTTCAATATTTATTTATTAATATCGAAGAAAATAACTGTCTTAAAGCAACTAGAAGTCATTTTCTAATATTCTTAAATAAATAAATGTTATATTTACAAAACTATATATATTTTTAATAATCTTTCTTAGAATTATCGATTAAAATACGAAATAACATGATTATGAATTAAATATATTTTTGAACTTTTAAATTTTCAATAATAGAGACAATTTGTAATTAATAAGTACCAATTTTGGGCGTTGTAGGGGTGTTAATCATTTCCTAAATGTAACCGACCACGAATCCCTTTTTTATTTCTAAAAAAATGAATTTTTGGTTAAACTCATATCAATTTATCTTTTAACTGATGTTTTCTTAAAAACTCTTTTAAAAGATATTTTTTTAGGTATTCGACCTACCTGACCCAAAAGGCCGATGGAGACTCCCAAAACATTTTAAAAACCATTTATTCACATTATTTTCCCGCCAAGTAAAAAGATTCGTGCTCGGACAAAAACCTGTTACGACAAAGCAATATTATTTATTTAATATTATGACATTAGCTTTCAGAAAAAAAAATTATGAAATGAATAAGAGTTGTACACTTATGGGAATAATTTGATTTTATCGGATATTCGGTGGTTTATACTTTTTGATTTGGATGGAGAATCGTTATCGTTGATAGATCGGTTGTCAGTTTGTGTTTCTATGTTAGAGATTAAATCATGATTATAAGATGAAGAAGAGTGTAGGGACGTCGTGGAGACTATAGTCCCTTCTCTTAATCGTGTTGAGAGGTACTTATAGTGATCCTAGTCTAATGATGTTAAACATAGAGTAATTATGCCTATTTTATAAGTTAAAAGACTAAATAGATATGATAGTTAGCTCTTAGATTTCGTTCTGATAGATCATATTGACTTTTTAGAGGTTTATCTTTATGCTGTGATCGATGTGGAGATACGTGTCTGAAAGATGTAGGTTCTTTGATAGCTTAAAAAACCAGAGAAGTTTATTTGAATTCCTTAACTAATGAAAAATCGATAAATTTCGTAAATCATATTTAACGAAAATTTAATAATTTCTAGAAATATATCTGAAAGTAGTACAATAATTAATAAAAACCGAATATAATTACCAAATTCTCATGCATTACAACTAACATATGTAAGATTATACTATGGAGTTGTGAAACCTATACGAGGATAAACAACTTTTATACCAAAATATTTGTAAGACAAAGCTGCACGAACTACGATCTTAAGAGTTTACCCGAAACTCCTTTTATGTTAAATTTACAACCTCAAAGTAAGAGTAGCATTAAAGATAGTGAAACTTTTACTAGCTATAGGCTAGCTCTTCCAAAACTCAGACACACCATCACCATAAGCGATTCAAATTGACAGGGTAATATAACAACGATTGTTATATAATGTTTAAAATTGTTATTATGAAAAATAATGAGGTAAAACATAATCGTACCAATAACGATGGATTACGGTTATAATTTAACGGGTAGCGATAATTACAACAATAACATACCGTTATTTGTGTTATTATTCTATAACCATAATAAACTCGATACGATTGAAATATAATCATAACTGCAATTTAAATTTCTTGTCACCGAATCAACGATGCAATATTGATTTTACTTTATCTACTGTACATGAAAATTTTCATGCATGATTCTTATTTCGTACCCAAATTAAGTGAGTTTTCTTTCCCGGAATTAAGTGACCTCTTGAATATCAGTAAATGCTTTACATCCAATATTCCAAGAGAAAGCGAGAGAGAGTTTCGTCACTCATTTCACAAGCATATATATATATACCAAAAAATACGTCTCATTATGCATCAAACGTTTATAATAGTAAATAGCTGATAAAAATCGCTGTATCATAGTCTCCTTTCTCCGCCTCACTTATCAAATATGCATATTCCGATATCACAAACTGAACTCGAAATCAAGAATTCATTCAACTTCTTCCCTTCTTCACTACCGCTACCCTGTAACAACAGCAATGCCATGTCAGAGTTGCTGTTATTGTCCGCGTCAAATTCATGGTACCTGTCTTCTTGGCTCAGCTGAGAAGCAACGAATTTGTCGAGGGTTCTCCAGTCAGTCACTATCTCCGCACTGTTCAACATTGTCTTCTGCTTCTGATGATCTTCTTCCTTCTTGTTATGCTTGTTATTGTCTGATATTAGTGATATGGAGCTTGCATTCTTTGTTAATGGCAGAGATGGGCTCTCTATCTGAGGAAGCTGCACGAACTGATCAGAGTGGGCAAAGTTCAAGTTTTCTGGCTCGGTCTCTTGTTTACAAAAGAAATTTGGAGGTAAAAAACTCTGGGGTTGCCTTGACATGTACATGTAATCGAGTGGATCAATCGCTGAGCTAATACCATTAGCTTCGTCATAGCTTGAATCCCACACTTCAATGTTCTTGGTTTTACCTGTTGGTTTCTTCTTAAATGCTCGACAAACAACCCAGCCTTCCTCCTACAAAAGATTTGGAAAAACTTATTATTAAATTGATAATAAAGATAAAAAGAAAGGAACCCATGCCAGAAAAGGAACTAAGAGCTATGAAAAGTTATTTGGATCACATTTTTGTCGTAGAGAAATCATGTTATGTTGACATTTCAGTAAATGGTCTTAGTATGGAAAGAAAAGGAAAAGCGATTCCATTCCTCATATAAGAAACGAAAATCCATGGCTGGTAGTAATGAATGCCTAACCCTTTCTTTGGTCACAAATACTTGAAAAAGAAAGTTTCAAAACAACAATAGTTGAATACTTGGTCAAGTGAGCCTATTCAAAGCTACTCACGTTGTTGGAAGACCGCGATTACAATTAGGGATGGATCGAGGGATAGAAAGTGAAAATCAATGTAGAAATTGATTGAGAAAATAATATTAATACACATAATTTACGCTTGCCTGTGGAGGTTTATTCTCGTGGGATTCAAGCCTGTATTCATGCATGATCCAGTCAGTTTTGTGGCCATTAGGAGCCCTTCCCTTGTAGAAAACAAGAGTCTTCCTCAAGCCAATCAACTTGAATTTATCATACACTCCTTTGTCTCTCCCTGTTGCTTTCCAAAAACCAGCCATGGTTGCTCTATTAGTCCTTGTCCCCGTTGGATACTTCTTATCCTTGTGGCAGAAGAAATACCATTCGCTTTGCTCCTCGTATCCGATCCGGCATCTCTCTATACCATCATCATCATAACCATTATTTAGATCTTGTAAACACGTAAGTTATCAAAACAAAGATATTTGGGTCATGTTAAATCAATATACACCATCTGCATCAGTATCTAGGGTTATTAAGCTTTCATGTATCTGTGAAACCCTGACTGTGGATCTTAACCCAGATAGCAACATTGTGCAAAACATGTTTAAACCCTAAAAACGAATGCAAAGAAGGAAAAGAAGAAGAAAACCTTGAAGATCCCATGGTTCGATCCTATAGAGATCGATGTTTCTGATGACATCAAGATCAATCTTCCGCGATGCAACCTTCTTCCTCAGATAATACCCAACAAGTTCCTCGTCGGTCGGGTGGAACCGGAATCCAGGTGGGACACATGATTCCATTATACTTGTTGTTGTTGCTGGTGCATCGTATTCACCACACGCTATATTAGTAGACTATCACTGTACCTCTCTTTTTATTTATATCAGCTCCAAATCATAAGCAATAAATGAAGTTAAAAAAGAGGAGAGAAAACAGAAACCAGAGACAATTTTCGAAGAAAAGAAAAGAAAGTTGAAAGCAAAATTATGAACAACTCTACGACTAAAAAGGTGAAAAGTGTTATCATAATCATCAACTAGGCTAGCTTAGCAACACTCATTACCATGTTTATTATCTCTCTCTCCAAAATGAAATTAAAATTACCATGTCTTATAAAAACAAATCCCATTATTTCCTAAGACATTAATGATATTTTATCAAGGGAAGGGGTGAAAGAGGGGAAACGGAATCGTGAGAGAAGTTGGAACATAGCTCTCTCTCCCTCTCTCTCTCTCTCTCTCTCTCTCTCTCAAGGGGAAACGGGACAGCTAGAGGTTTGAGCAAATGATGTTGTCTTGTATTAGAGAATGGTGGAAATGATGCATCAACAACGGGGTTTCCATTTACAAAATATAGCAATTAATTTACAAAACAAAAAGGGTTTCTAGAATTCAAGCTAATAAACAAAAAGTTTTACTAAAAGGGTTGAAACAAACAGAAATTACATTTTAAAATTAAAATCAAAGAATGTTAGAATAAACACATTTGAGTTAGGGATCACAAATAAGCATGCGTTTGTTTGAAAGTGAAAAAGCGAAAGGTTTTTGGAGACAAAAAGAGGGCACCCGTTTCCATTGGATCAAGGTCTGAAAAGGAGCAAGAACATAAAATCTATAAAGAGAAAAGCAGTGTTGATGAGGATACTTGCTGTAACTTTGTCTCTTTGTCGACAATGTCCACAGCAGCACGGGTGAGACCTTTTCTTCTTTCATATACACTGATTATGAGAGCAAAATGAATAACAGAAATAATGCAAGCTTACCCAAAATGAAAAAAATGTGACTTTGCCCCCAATTCTCGAATGAAAATAGATGGTTACAAATCTGGGTTTCAATTAGTTTCTTCTCTCATCAATATTTACTAGAAAGAAGTTCCATTTCCTCAGTAAAGGAAAGTTCAGCATAACGTTTTTATACAAGTGGTTGGTGGGTTTGTGTTAGAATGTTCAAATGACGAAAAACTAATAAACGTTTTCAACAAATACTTCACCAAATTCTAGTCTTCCATGTAATAATAAGGTGGCTTCTTTTGACCAAACCAAATAATGTAAAAAAAAAAAAAGAATTTAAAGGGAAGCTTACATTTCACAGTTAGAATAGAGAAGCTTGAAAAGAAAATATGATTTTTTTATGATGAAAATGCAAAAGCTTACCTGAAACTAGGTAATGGTGGAGTTAGAATAGAATGAAGAAGAAGAATGGAAAGACAAAAGAGAGAGGGGAATGAAGAGTAAGTATAAAAGGGAAGGGGGCAGTGGGGAGAACCGCTGGATTGGATTGCGCATGGGGTGATGGGTGTCCTCAGTTGCTTACGTTAATGCCTCATTTCCTTTCGTCTCTTCTATACCTTTCATTCTACTTTTCTTTATTCATCTTAACATGTTAGACAGAAGTCAGTCTATCGTTTCAAACTCAAGTTTTTCTGTTTATTTAATAAGAGAGGACACTCGCATATCTAGAAATATTTCACTTGATGGAAATATTTGTATTAATAATATAAAATTTTCGTATAGAGAAACACCTCACTAAAATAAATAATTAATATAAAAAAAATCAGATTTCGAAATTGACACGTAGCTAGCCTGAAGAATACATGCATCTGCTCCTAAGGGATGAGAAGGGGTTGTATAGAAATCAAAATTGAGACCGGTGTTAATCGATATTTGATTTCAGTGCAAAAATGTTAAGGTATGTTGTAATCTTAATTAGATAATTTAAGTCTGAAGTTTAGATACGATGTTTCTGAAATAACAATCAAGAATTTCGAATATAAATTATAAGATCAATTTAGAGTTAATTTCTCCACAGATTTTTCAAATTATGATTTCTATTTAAAATTAGTTTTTACAATTTTTAATAATTCAGTTTTATCATTAAATTATGATTCTTATTTTATATTCATCTTTAAACTTTTGAATAATTCAAATTCATCCCAAAATATATCCTTATTCTAAATTGATCCCCAAACTTTTGAATGTTTTCAATAATGTCCCCAAAATCATTCAAAAGTTTGAGAATAAATTTGGAACGTTCAAAAGTTTGGGAATAAATTTGGAACGTCCAAAAGTTTAGAAATGAATTCAAAATGAGAGTCATAGCTTGGGATGAAATTAAAATTATCAAAAGATTAGAGACCGGTTTAGAATAAAGTTTACAGTTCAATAATGTATAATTGAATTAACTTATCAGTTCATAAAATATTAAAAAAAGTTAAATATAAAATAATATTATAATAAATATACTCCTAAATATTTACACTTTAGTGTACTTGATTTTATTTTTTAATCAGTTTTAACCATCGATATTAAAAAATATCATATTAAATCATCATTATTTTAAAAAGAGTCAAATTATTATTACTTTTACAAAAATATGGGTAAGAATATTAAATTATCAACAGTATTTAATTTTATTTGAACAAAAAAAAAATCGATTTTAAAATCAAAACTTATGTTACGTTCCGTACACAAGTAATAACATATGGAAAAACTAATTATAGTATGAGTTTTACATTAATCCAAAATCAGTTCATCGAAATATAAAGAAGAATTTATACAAATCTAAACTTGACATTAGAAATACGAATAAAAAAGTAACAGCTATCAAAAATAGGTAATATTATTTTAGTATATCTAAATTAAACTAGTTAAATAACTAAAAGTTAAGTAAATGTAATTTATTATTAATTTATATCGTAACATATATTTAATTAAGAGCAATCATTGGTTTTCTTATTAATTAATTACTAATTTATATTAAATATTATATAATGCTAATATAAGAATTATTATTCTAATTCAATTTATTCTATTAGTAAACATTAAAATTTGAAATTTTGACCTTATTTATAGAATTTAATAAGTATATTATTCTCTTAAATCAATTAATTGTTGATAAAGGATTTTAATTTGAGAATTTCAACATATTTGAGGGTGTGCACATGTTTTTCATTAAATTCGAGTACTTTTTAATTGATTTTTTATTTTATTAACTATGTTTATTCTAAAATTTATTGATTATAATTTTTTCATAAAATTTATATTATTAGCTTATATATAACTATTTTAAAATATTTCTAAATTGACCACTTACTCAACAGATGACGATATTAAAATAGTTTCTCTTTGTCATTGTCATAAACCATTTTCGTGGGGGAGTTTCTGACATGCCAGCCACGTTGGCATGACAGCCTCCACCACGTGTTGCCGGTAAAGAACCACACCTCCACGCTCTCACTCTCCCCCTCAAACTCCCGTCAGCCATGGCTTTAGTTTCCACTCTTTTAATAATAATCACCCCATTGTCCTTTCCATTTCCAGAAACTTTCAACTGACGAAAGGGCACTCTTCTCCAAAAATCAGAGCAACGCCTTTAAGGATATTAAGGTCACTTCATGCCAAGAATTACGGCCTTCTAAACAAGTAGCAGGAACACTATAAAAACGTAGACTGGGGCAACACTGGAATCCACGTGGCCTATAGGGGTTGGAGGATTAACATCCTTCTTTACGTACAAGATAAATAAAGGAAACAGAGAGAGAGAGAGAGAGACGTACCAAGCAAGCAAGCACTACAATTTGTCTTCTCAGTTCATGAATTCTGCCTTAGTTTTACTTGGCCAATAAATTTTTCGTCTATGAAACTGCAACTCACATCACATCACATCAATTTGGCCTTCCTAACCTAATTATCATACATTTTGTTGAAGAATCTAGAAAAATAAACGAAATAATACAAGAATTTTAACGAGGTTCGATATTGTGCTTATGTCATCGGTGCTTAGGCGGCGTTAGAAATTTTATTCAATGTTTTATAGGTTTAGGTTACATCTCTATTTATAATAAAAAATCTGGTGCATAATTACATAATTAACCTTATACACTGTTCTCTTTACTGGTATATTTATAAGTCATACCTATGAAATCTCCACCTTGACGAATATCTTAACCCTTGGAAACTTCAATGTGGGTTGGGTTACATTACTTCTTTAACAACTCGAAACATTTAACAAGTCCAAGCAATGCTTGAACTTGTCTGTTGTAACTGGCTTGGTGAACATATCATATAGCATTCTCATCAGTATGTACCTTCTTAAACAAAACCTCTCCAGATGCAACCAACTCTCTGATCTTGTGGAACCTTACATCAATATGTTTAGTTCTAGCACGATACACATGATTCTTAGCCAAGTGAATAGCACTTTGATTATCACAAAGCAACTGAACTCCACCTTGTTGAACACCCAACTCCTTCACTAAACCAGTAAGCCATAAAGCTTCTTTTGCAGCTTCAGCCGCTGCCATGTATTCAGCTTCAGTTGTAGATAGTGCTACAATATATTGAACAGTAGACTTCCAACAAATAGGCCCTCCACCAAGAGTAAAACACATACCCTGTCGTAGATCTTATATTATCTAAGTCACTTGCATAGTCTGAATCCACATATCCTACAACCAAAGGATTATTCCGCTGACTACCAAAAACAATTCCATGTCCCACAGTACCCTTTAAATATCGAAAAATCCACTTGACTGCTTCCCAATGTTGCTTACCATGTTTAGACATGTACTTACAAACTTGACTAACATCATGAGCTAAATCAGGACGAGTACATACCATTGCATACATCAAGCAGCCAACAACATTAGAATACGAAACCTTTGCCATATCTTCAGCTTCCTTATCTGTTTTCGGGCACTGTTCTGATGAGAGCTTAAAGTGATTCGCCAATGGAGTGCTAACTGGTTTTGCGCTGCTCATCGCAAACCTTTCTAGCATTTTCTCAACATAACCCCATTGAGATAGCCACAGTTTCCTTGAGTCTCTATCCCTGCAAATTTCCATTCCAAGAATTTTCTTTGCAACACCTAAATCTTTCATATCAAATTCCTGACTCAATAAAGTTTTCAAACCAATAACATCATCCATGTTCTTCTCAACAATCAACATATCATCAACATATAATAATAGAAAAATAAAAGAACCATCATCAAGGCTCTTAACATAGACACAACAATCATACTCATATCGGTTGTAGCCAATCTTGATCATATAGAAGTCAAACCGTTTATACCACTGTCTCGGAGACTGTTTCAACCCATACAAAGATTTCTTCAATCTGCAAACTAAATGCTCGTTTCCAGGTTAAGTGAAACCTTCAGGCTGCCGCATGTAGATCTGCTCCTCTAAATCACCATGCAAAAAAAGCAATTTTAACATCCATCTGCTCTAAATACAAATCCCAACTAGCCACCAATGCAAGTGTAACACCCTTAACTCATATCCAACCCGAATACAAGTCTGAGGTGTCACATTGACTTTTCAAAACCTTGACTCTTATAGAAAATCCCGGGAATTTTTAAAAATTTCATTAAAACGAAATACTTTAATTTACATAAGACCATAAAATACAAAATCGATTAGAGTATTCGTAATTAACACTTATTACATGCCAACATTTTATACATAACCAAGTACATACTTTGTCAATTACTTATGATCTGATCTCTTATTAGTATTATTGTCCGTGCTACTTCTATTTCCACTTTTCCTGATTCTTGATACCTACGTGTAAATCACTTACACGCTAAGTCATATACTTAGTGAGGCAATAAATGAATATGCAACAATAAACTTATGAATGTTCATACTTACCATTGGATCATGACATTTCAATATGCATGTATCTATCGCACGATAACATATAATGCACATACGAAACTTACCTTCTTGTATCACTTTCACTGTAAATCTGCATTTCAATTGTATAGCCCATGTATATTATTGAGAATAGAGGTATGTGAGTACATTGAGGTTGTGCACTAACGCTGTCACCACAGCTCGTATCAATTCCTTCATGGGACATTGAACCTTAGTTCAGTATTCGTCCCGTAGGACTATTATCTATGTCCCGTAGGACCCCTACATCTCGAAGGACTACATCCCGAAGGACTATTATACCCTCGACTCTTGGCATGCCAATTACACCTATAGTTCTCATTTCGTATACTATGGGCATTATTGTTATATTTCATATGTTCATGTACTTATATCATTTCTCTTGTGATCATGTATCTCATATCACTTCATATCATGTTCTCATATCATATGTCATATCACATGTCATATCACATATCATATCACATGAACATATATATGTCTTATGCATGTATCACAATAATTATCATGTATGCATGTTCACCACTACTATATTATAAAAATCAACTTAGGGATTAGACTTATCACAAGTCTTATTCCATTATAATATACATAAAGTATGCACTCACCTTAGCTTTGCTTTGATTCGATTCTAATCCTTTGATCGTTCCGGAATAAGCTTACTTTTAGTATCTACATAATCACACATGGATTTATATCAGTATTATAACTAATATACTCTAATGGTTCACTCTTTAGACTAAGAGAAAAGTCAATTTCATCTTTTAATGAAGGTATGCATCGATGCACTACTGATGCATCGGTGCATAAAAGGTATTCGATGTATTATTATTGCTGGGATGCATCGATGCACTCCTTATGCATCGATGCACTCCTTATGCATCGATGCACCAATTGCATTCGATGTTTCATTATTAACTGGATGCATCGATACACTACTTATGCATCGATGCATGAATTGTATTCGATGTTTTATTTTAAAAGAGTGCATCGATGCACTACTAATGCATTGATACACCTTCAAACAATTTCTGGGTTTTAACCTTGATGCATCGATGCACTATGAATGTGCATCGATGCACTCTGCCCAAAATCCTCTTTTTGAACCCGAAAATTCATTCATTTTGGATTAAATCCTTCATGTTTAATCCTCTTTTTCATTCTTAACTCTAGTACACATCCTTAAACCAATTTATACTCATTTATTTCATCTTAAACCTTCAAATCCTATCCTTCATATGTAATTCAAGAATTACATTAATAAATCAACATGTTTGAATTCCGCTTTTAACACTTCGTATATCTTAACTAGATTGATGACAAGTCAAATATAACTTTCAATTCTAATTATGAACTCTATTCCAAGATTTCATTTAAGAACTTTAAATCTTAAATCTCTCCTAACTCAATCATCCTTTGATGTTAAGATAACTTAAGCTTTCCTCAAGCTTAGTTATCATCCAATAATCAAAACCCAATATTAAATTTAACAAGAAACTCAATAATCAGAAATCTTACCTTTGCTTTGGTTCACACGCACAAGGAAGAAAGAAGAATAAGAAGAGAACTCTGGAAGCCTTTGTTGTTCTCTCATTTTCAACCCACTTGTACTCATATATATCCTTATCTCTTCTTTAATTAATTTTCCTTGCAAATGACTCTTTGGCCCTTCCATTCCTTCTTCCTTTCAATTAAATTCTACACAATCATTTACATATAAATCTTTATACTATTATTCATTCTATTTTAATCACCAAAATCTGAAACTTTCCAATTTAGTCACTAACGGTATTGAGGATGTTACAGCAAGTATTGCTCGGATTGAAGTGTGTCTGACCACAGGAGAAAAAAAATCATCATAATCAACTCATTTCTGTTGTGAAAAACCCTTTTCTACCAAGCGAGCCTTGAACTTCTCCCCCTCTTTTTCTATTCTGCTGGTTTCTTCTTATACACCCATTTGCAACCAATTGGCTTCTTACCCTCATGAAGGGGAACTAACTCCCATATACGATTGTGATTCAAAGACTCTATCTCCTCAACCATGTCAGCTATCCACTTATCATTTTCCTGACTAGTAACATCATGAAAAGTAATTGGATCATCACTGCTAACAGTAAGTGCAAAAGAGACCAAGTCTTCAAAACCCAATCTGTTCGGAGGCTTTATATTCGTCTGTCTCACCCTGTCTCTGGCGAGACTATAATCCTGCAAATCATTCATAGCGGAACCACCAGAAGCCGGTTGAGAAATTTATGTTTTCTCAACTGGAAACTGCTCAAAATCTACCACTGTCGTGTCTTTCTTCTGCTGCAACATGGATTGTTCATTAAAAACAACATCTCTACTGATCACAATTTTCTCCGCAACTGGATCCTAGAACTTGAATCCTTTGACATCTTTCTTGTAACCCAGAAAAATGCACTCCTTCGATTTTGCATCAAGTTTGGATCTCTCATCAGCAGGTACATACACATAAACAGGACAACCAAAAAATCTTAAGCTGTCAAAACTAACATAATGACCAGTCCATACCTCTTATGCAACTTTCCCAGCCAATGATGCCCTTGGCAATCTGTTGATAAGATAACACGTCATGTTAACAGCCTCAGCCCAGAAGTGTTTGGGAAGCCCCGCATTCAACCGCAAACATCTGGCTCTTTCATTCAACGACCTGTTCATCCGTTCCGCAACACCATTCTGTTGTGGTGTCTTGTGCACTGTAAAATGTCTCTTAATCCCATGCTCCTTATAGAACTGTAGAAACTGTGAATCTATGTACTTTGTACCATTTTCAGACCTCAAACACTTGATTTTTCATCCTGTTTAGTTTTCTACCTCAGCTTTCCACAGCTTGAACTTCTCAAAAACATTAGACTTATGTTTCAAAAAATACACCAAACTTTCTGTGAAAAAATCGTCAATAAAGGTAACATAATACCTAGATCCACCCAAAGACGATGTCGTGGAAGGCCCCCATACATCTGAATGCTCATAATCAAGAATGCCTTCAGTTGTGTGCTTCGCATTCTTGAAACGAACTTTAGTCTGTTTACCAAGAACACAATACTTGCAAAAGTCGAGCTTACAACTTTTAACACTATGCAACAGATTTCTTTTATGTAATTCAGCCATACCACGTTCACTAAGATGAGCAAGACGCATATGCCACAGTTTGGTTGTATCATCACAGGACTCAACAGAATGAACTCCACCTACAACAGTACTCCCTAACAATCTGTAAATATTCCTTGCAGTCATCTTTCTTTCATCACAGTCAAAACTCCTTTAACAATCCGAATAGTTTCTCTATCCTCATCAGCCTTAGGGATAAAACCATTCTCGTGCAAAGTGCCCAAAGAAATCAAATTCTTCTTTAAATTTGGGATATGCCGAACACCACTCAACGTACGAATAGAGCCTTCATACATCTTAATTCTGACATCACCAATACCAACAATATTACAGCATCGATTATCACCCAAATAAACAGAACCAGAATTAACTGACCTGTATGTCAAAAACCATTCCCTATTTGGCGTGATGTGATAAGAACATCCAGAATCAAGAATCTACGCATCCGTCAATTGAGTCGTTGAAATAGAAAGCATATCATCCTCACTGCAATCAGAATTGTCATCCTCGACCACGTTCACAGACTTGGATGAAACATCACGCTTCTCATCAGTTTGCTTTTTCAACTTCGGACAGTCTCGCTTCATATGTCCCGCCTCCTTGCACTTGTAACAGTGAATTGTCTTCTTATCCCTAGATTTGGATCTGGAATTCCGCTTGCCAGACACTGCCTTCTCTGGCTTTCGTCCACGGTTTCGATTACCCTTGACATATAAGCTATCGTCTTGAGAGCTTTCCCCTGCATTTTGCTTCCGCTGGTTGTGAGCCAACAAGGCTGCAGTAATCTCCTCAACGTTGATAGTCTCTTTCCCATATGTAAGAGTAGTCACATGTGTTCGTAAGAGGGAGGCAACGAACACAACATAATCATCGCTCTGTCTTCATCCTCAATTTTCACATCAAGCCGAGCCAAATCAGAAACGATTTGATTGAAGACATTCACGTGTTTCACCAAATCATGATCGTCCTGCATCTTCATCCCATACAGCCGCTGCTTTAGATACAATTTTGTCGTTAAGGATTTGGACATAAATTGACTTTCCAACTTCCTCCAGATTTGTCTGGAGACGATAGATGCATGACATGATACATGACCTCGTCCGCCAAGCATAATCGTATGGTTCCTGCCACTCGCTGTTGCAATTCTTCCCAATCTTCCTCCTCATCGACGCCGGCTTTGTAGGTCGCAAAGCCTTCAGGATCCCCTGCTGCGCCAACATATCCTTCACCCTCGTTTTCCATAATCCGAAGTTACCCTGACCATCGAATTTCGCAACTTCGAATTTTGCTCCTAACATCTGATACCAATTGTTGAAGAATCGGGAAAAGTAAACGAAAGAATACAAAAATTTTAACGAGGTTCGATAATGTACTTATGTCCTCGGTGCCTAGGCGTTCGCTTCGCTCACTCCGCTCCATCCCCTGTCCTCTTTATTGATATATTTATGAGCCATACCTATCATATTTCTATTTATGTATTGAATTTATGAATCGTAGCAATAATATTATAATGGTAGATATTAATATTTGGTTTTGAAAACATCAATTACTATTACAGTACTATGCTAGCAATAATATTATAATGGTAGATATTAATATTTAGGTTTTGAAAACATCAATTACTATTACAGTACTATGCTATCATATATTTATCCATATATAAATATTTCTAATAAATTTTGTCCTACATACGGACATTCTATAAAAATAAACACTTTTACAATTACTTTTAATCAAATCTTCAATGTCACAATTTTACCAGATAAAGAAAGGATAGATAATAATGATAATTAAATGTTTAGAGAATGTTTTCAGGATTAATCTTTTTTTTTATTATAATCGATAGTATCTTAGAATTTGTAACTTTGTAGTTACAATTTATGTCACTAAATATGATATAAGATATTATTATATCTTACTCGCCAAATATATCTACGACATCAGAGTTTCTAGTAGCTACATGAGGGTAATTAGTATTTTTTGTTGTTGTTGAAAATATCATTAATATTGTGTTTGAATCTAAGAGGATGATTCTCAATTGTATTATTTTGTAATAATAAAAGCATAGAGCGACAAAAGCATATTTAAAATAATATTATTATTAGACTTATTGATATAATAAACCTTTAAAAAATCAATTAAACTCTCAACGTTTTGCATCCAATTGAGTCCTCTAACTATAAAACTACCATAATACTGGAAACTTTCCCACATATCATCCTAATTAAGATAAAAAGTAAAGAATTGAAATTGGGGGGGGGGACTAGACCTCAGCACAGGGGTATATCAGTCTAAGAAGAGCCATAATTGGGGTTTTGTTGCCAGACCACGGTCATAGAAGAGTAGATGTGGGCAATCTTACTCGGTAACCTGTTTAATTCAAGTGGGAAAAAAAATGAAAATAAAATAACTAAAAGAGAAAAGGAAATATATGGGCCTTTAGAGCTAAACAAAACAAAGTATTAGCAGAGCAAAAACAAAAAAGTTGCGGTACTTTCAGATTTTGAGCAATGTCTTCGTGAACCAAGATTTGAGTTAGGATTTTAGGTGGATATTTATCAAGCCACGTCTTTGAAGAAAATCTCAGTTTATTTGGGTGAAGAGAATCAGATGAGACAGGTCAGAAGAGAGAAAATGTAGGGAAAGAGGAGATATAGAACAGGGCATCAATATATATATATATATATATAAGGTGGCAGAAGCAGTCGGGCTTTGAGTTCGATTTTGGAATAACAGGGGAAAACAAATTTTGTTGAAATTAAAACTATTTACACTATAATTCAAAATTAAATTAAAACATTGTCTGAATTACAACTTCATAAATTGATGATTATAGATAAGTGTTTTAGCGGGTGTCGAATCAAACAAAAATAAATGGGTGACTACCCTACCCTGTTTGGACCGTGGTTGGTTTGTTAGAAAGGGTTCTTACATATGCACACATATCAAATATACCTTTTTGAATGGTCTTTGCCGGATGAAACATGAAAACACCTCCCAACAGAAACATCATAACAAAAGCTTACAAAACTTTTGCAGTGTAAACAAAATTGATTCCTGGTTTTGAAGCAAGAGAGAAAAAAATTATAAGAAATATGTCATCCAAAGCATCCGAATTCTTCATTTTTCGTAATCAAGCCGGACATCTACTTTAAATAATCAAGATATATTCAGACATGGTATGAACAAGGAGCAATTGAATAAGGAAGGCTTCCGATTTGCCATTCACTTCTTACAACACTTAATCTCTGTCATGACATTGCTACTATATTTCCAAACCAGTCTTAGAGGAACTCAATTAGGAAGGCTTCTGAGTTGGCATTCACTTTTTACAACACTTAACCTATTGACATTGCTACTATAACTCAGAGTAACTAGTCTTTACAGCTATAAGTATGCAACTGAAGGTGTACAGCTTACCAACAGCCCGATAACTGGGAGGGTCATAATGCTTAACTGGACTGCCTCCAAGGGTCAGAACGAAATAGGTTTTACGTTTAGCTAAGCCTTGCACAAAATGTGCATTATTTCTCATGAAAGCATAATCAAAATCATTCTACCAATGGTTCGCTTTTAGTTCAACTGAAAACCTCTGAACTACATACATTAATGGAAATGCTAGAGTAAACTATTACCTTTCCATTAGGAATATGTGTTGAGACCTCCCAAGCACATTCTGGTTTTCCAATTCCTAAACCAAAAACATAGACAAGGATGTAAGACAATCAGAATCACACCAGCATTCAAAACCAAAAAACATTTTAAATTGATAACTCAATTACCAGAAAAATCCATTTCAGAAACTGTTTGCAAATTCCAATGCCATAAATCACAAGAACAGCACCCAGACCAAACAATGGGTTCCTCCCCTTTAACTGATTCAATCAATATACCATGCAACCAGAGCTCCAATATCCAACTTTCTATTTATCTACAACACCACAAAACTGGCCTTAGTTCCGGTTGCAGACCGGGTTTTCTTGCCGGAAATTTTGCATAAAACCTCAAAATACTACACTCAAACAAAAATATAAATAAAAGATAAATCGGTTTGACTGCTTCCCAAATAATAAAATCAACATGAAAATCATGTTTTTAACGGAACATATATAGTAAAATTCCAACCCCGTTAATAAATTAGCATCAAAATTCAGAATTTCAATTAATTTCATCGAACCTATGATTCATTAAACCCCTACATCTCTTTTATAGAGGTGTAGACACTCGTTTTTCGTCCCCTTTCTAATTTATTATTATTATTATTACTTATAATTTTTTTTACATTGTGCAGACCCAAACATCCAGAGCCCAACATTAGGCCCTTACCGGAGCCCAACTACAAGTACAAGCCCAATTGACACTAACCCAAGCTGCTGACCCAAACAGCTGGACCCAACCCAAATCCATTCAGCAACTGACCCGATCCAGGATCCGACCTGATCCAAGATCCAACCCGGCCCCTAGGGTTTCTAAAACCCTAACCTTAGGGGTATGATGTTGTTGTGGCCGCCGCATGCGCCTCTGCTCCTTGTCACCGCCTGCCTATGCTGCTGTCAACCGCCCCATTTGCATCTACAAAAATTCAGAACATAGCAAGCAACAATCAATCCAAGTTCACACGCAAATGTCAGATTATTGTAATGATTTCATAGCAAAAAATATGAAATATTTGTAATACTTCGGGGCTTATAAAAGAACCCCGAAGAAAGCATGTAAAAGAGGAGTTTTTCCTCTCTCGGTTTTTCGAAAAAAATAATAAAAAGCAAGAAAGCAAAAATCAAAAGCATCTTAATCTTTTTATTTCTTTACCTAAATGCTAATTTCGAACTGAAAAAAATATAAAAAAAACCTACTAAGGAGAGGGGATTTTGAACAAGAGGCAAGAAGGAAAAGAGAGGAGCAACTTAGCTTGCATGTGGATCGTCGGGTATCCGAGGGGTCACCGGAGACGAGGGATTTTCTTCAGATCTACGACAATAGGGGAAGATTTTGGCCAATCGGGGAGGAGTGCGGCGTCGAACGGTGGTCGGGTCTCATAAATGGTCATGCAGATGAATGGTCATGCAGATATGAAGAAATTCCTTAGGGTATGATGTTGTTGTGGTTTCATATTTTTCTTTGTTTATTACTTATCTTGAAACTTGATTTTTGCCTATCCTGATATGAAGAAAAAACACTTAGTCAGTGTCACATAAATGGTCATGCAGATGAATGATCAAGTGATAATTTCGGCACTACTGTTGAAGCAAGCCAATTGATCTTTTGGAGATTCACAAGTTCCTCTCTCAGGAACTCATACTACAGTTAGCTATTAGGAAGTGACATGACTGATATGAATGAAGTTTTCTGATGAAATGGATAGTTTAGCTGCAGTTGAAGGAAACAGAGTTTGTTGAGTATTGGACTTGGTCATGATCAAGATGGTTAAGTTCTGGAACCTTAGGCTAACCAGGTTCAACAGGAATGCACCACTTTAATGACTCGTTAAATGTCGTGGATGAAACTTTAACACGATGCATTGAGTGTCGTGAATAAAACATTAAAATATGACATATTAAGAGTGCTGTGAATAAGACATTGAACATGACTTCCACATTAAAAATGTCATGAAGCTAATGCTGTGATGTCTTTTAAATCCAAAAATGTGAAACTAAGCTTATCAAGTTTGGAAGAATTCATTAATTTTTTTCTACTTTTATGATGTCTTAGAGAGCATAGCCGGGAGGCTCGGATACAGATAATATTAAAAAACCGGCTTCTTATCCTTTCTCTAGAGCACAAGGATTTTCTCTTCCTGCTCTTATTTAATGAGCGGTCTATTTACACTTAAATGTAAACATAACAATCCTTTCATTAAAATTTAGTGTAAAGTAGATAAATGATCCCTCAAATGACCGTTAAATTTTTAATAGAAAAAGGTTATTTTGGAACATGATGTTGAATGACTATTTTCTAACTTTTAATAGTTGAAGAATTTAACAAAGCAACTACCTATAGTCGATGGACGATTGTGTAATTTTAATAGTCAAAAAATCGATATAATAGTATTATATAATCGGGAAACCATTTGTAGACTTTAAAATTTAACAAATCGTCTAAGTGATAAAAGAGAATGTTATTATATATATATATATATATATATAAATAAAATAATTACTTTTACATGAAGTGTGTACATTATCAATAAATTATAAAATTTTAAACATATATTATTGAAGTGCAACTTTCATGTAGCTCTGTAGGGATGGACACGAGTCGAATCGAGTTTTTAGCAATTTGACTAATCCTAAAATATATATTTTTCATCTGAAATTCAATATGACCTGAGTTTAAGGGTGATTTCACCCAACCCAAATTCGATATGATTTTTTGAGATAAATCGCCAAATCTAACCCCACCCAACACAAATAAATATATTTATAAAAAAATATTTTTATTCAATAAAAATAGGGATCTAATTGAAAAAAAAAATATGTTAGTTTTATTGATCAACCGAATTCGCCAAGAGGGGTGAATTGACCTTTTGAGAAATTTGTGGAAGCAAACGAAAAATAAAAATTTTTGCACAACGATTAAAGTGTTTAGCTTTCTAAACCAAAGTATACATCCACATTCACACTAAGGATTTCTCAATTCACTAGATTTGTTAACTTTGAGGACAAGATATAACTTACAATGACACACAAGATTTATATCCCAAAACATTGCTTACACTTTTTCCACAATATGAATTATAAATAAAGCAAACAAAGAGAAAATCTCACAAGACAAATATGTTTGCACAATTTAAGCACTCACCTGATACATGCTTGACAAAATAAACAATGTTGCTCACAAATGTGTTTACAACAAATAATTTGACAAATTAAGCACAAAATAAAACTTTAATGTTGGTAGGTTGGTTCAATATAATTCTTATTGATCATGGAAGCTTTGACCTTGAATTTATACATTCTCCATTAATTCTAGCCGTCGGAGATCATTGTAGCTGGTACCTACAACCAAAAACAATATTTAATGCACAAGGGTTCGATCTTTTGTGAAAATGATCGATCCCTTTTCAAATAATTTGACCATTGTAAGAAAGGGATCGATCTTTTCATTGAGGGATCGATCTGATCCTTTTGGTAAAAGGATCGATCATTTTCCTAGAGAGATCAATCTCTTTGGTGAAGGGATCGGATCGATCCCAAACATACTGGAATCCAAGGGATTAATCATTTTTCAAGGAGATCGATCCTTTGAACCAAAAATGCTTGGAAACTCGACTTTAAAGTGCTAAAATGATCAAGAATGTTTTTGAAAATGTACCACTAAGTTAGAAAATATTTAAAACATATTTTTCAAATTAAGTTGGACGCTAAATTATTTCTGATAAATTTTTTATAAATTCAATTAAGTCCAAAATCAATTTTGCAATTATATCAAATTTAATTCAACGTAACATAGAGATTATTAGTGTTATTATTCCTAAATATATAAGATAAATTTATATTATTTTTTGGATCGGGTCGAATCGATATTTTTCATCCTAAACCAAAATCCGATCTAATCTGAATATTTTTCTTTTAGAATTTGACACGACTTGAACCTATAAGTTTTTTAAATTTTTGACCCAATCGGATCGACTCACGTCAAAAGCCGTCGGGTTCGATTCCGTGGCTATCCCTAATATTCCCACTATCTTCGCAATCTTCTCTCTTTCATTATCAATGTTCGCACAGCTTCTATTACATTCATCACCCATTATTAATAGAGATTTAACTATTTTATTATGGGATGTTTGATGAAAGTTTGACTTCACTATATTCTCTGTAAGTTATATTTTCTAAAACTAATTGCAATTAGTGGTGTACAAATTTAAATATTGAATTCGATTTTATCCATAGATTCATATATTTAAAATTTTAGATATTTAAAATAGTAAATAGTATTCAATCTGAAAAAAATAGATATTGATTTATCGATATATGAATTTTAGTTATTAGATACCAATATATTCAGATATCTAAATTTGAATATAAAATTTAATTTGAAAAAATAATAATTTTATTATATTTTTACGATTTAATATAACTTATTTGATATCTCTATATATATATATTAAATTATTCACATACAATAAATAATTAAATATCTTAATTTTTATTGGATTATAGCTTTAATGGATTAATGAGTTGTTCATTAATTGGGTTTAAGTATTTAAAAGTATTTTTTTGGATTTTTAGATAATCGAAATTAAAATTTATCCGATCTGATTATCCGAAATTTTTTTAAATAGTCAATCCAATTTATCCGAAAATAAAAAATGACGAGATATCCGGATTTTTGAATCGGATCGATCAAATCGAATCATTTTGAACACCCTAATCGCAACCACAATAAATTTCCGTCCTTAATCGGGATATATTTATTATTTTTATTTTTATAAAATATATTTATTAAATGTGTTTTAAAATAGATAAATTGAACAGTCATACATGAATATATAAGTACATTAATGTATTTGATTAGATGTATAGAATAATCTATTTATGTAACGAATTATATATGATCAAGCATGGTAAAACATAAAATGTATAATACAAATGAGTTGATTTTGAAATTGTTTCTCAACATATTGTTTCTTTCCCACAAGATAAATATTTGTGTTTCACTCTGACCTCCTTCCAAATTTCAATACCATCTTCGTCACAACTCCCTACCGCCGTGCTTGTTACCAAAAAATCTGTTCCCATTTTTCTTCATCATCTTTCCACGTTTTGCTAATTTATAATTAATAAAAAAAAAGAAGCAAAAGAACCCTCTACACAGCTTGTGCATGAATGTGAAAAATGAATCGCAAAAGAAAAAGGTCAAATAACTATGCTTTCCTTTCTGGTTTTATAAGTTGCAATTGTTGTAAAGGTCTTATATGTCTTGGCTCCATCAAGAAGCTGTATTGATTAATAAGTTTGTAAGATGGAGTTGTGATCCATTGCTATAATCTAATCCCATCATGTTGATATCAAATTTGCAGCATCTGATGTTGTATTGATACATAATTTTCAAATACCAACTACAACCATTCAACTGATTCCACTGTTTTCAATTGAATTTAGTCTTTTTGTGGCTGAGGAAAATGTGGACATCACATCAAAAGGAAGAAGAAATGGACACCACATGAGCATATACAAAACCTTGAAAAAAAATCCAAAACAGAAACCTGCAGTTGATCAGACTGATTTCTACTCTCATTTTGATTCAATGAAGTCAATTATATTTACTAAAGAAACGATGGCGCACTCTTCAACATGTTTGCCTAACATGGTTCAGTCGAAGACAAGATAAAAAAGACAGGGAATTGAAGCAAATTGTCCCGGTTCAACCTGCGGCTATGTTTGATTGATCTAGAGGAATCTACACCCACAAACGTAAGTTTTCCTTAGCCCCATCTTATCTCATCTATGATAGTTGTAGTACTGTAATCACGAGCCAATAGCTTGTGGAATCAATTCGGTGTGTTCAGAGATAAAGAGAAGATACTTTGCATGTGTAGGCTAGCAGAAGCAGCAAAAAGAAAGAAACCAAACCAAGCTTGGGTCCCATGGCAGCAAAATTAATGCAAAGAGACGTTCTCAACTTCCCCGACTCATAAAATCCAAAACTCTCTTGGAATATAACTTATGGTGTTCATCCAGAAAACACCAAAATGAACAAGTTGACAAAACAAAAACACACCCTTCACTCAACAGCACTGCCATCCCTCTATCATTCATTTGTTATGTCATTGTTGCCTTGCCTGTTTATTAAATACCTACATTTTCCCTGATTGACCAATTCTAACATATAAAAGGAAAAATCTTTTTTCTATCTCCCTTGTCACCAATCCTAGACATCTTGCCATCATCATCATTATCACCAACTTACCTCAACAACAACAGTTGCATTTGATTATAAATACAGCTTCTCTTCATTTATTTTTTTCTCTAGTTGTGTTCTTATTATTATATGAAAAGGAAGATGAATGTCTTTTCTATTAGGAGAGGATGAGAGCGGGAGGGAATTATGCGAATCCTTTGCGACGCTTGTGAAATTGCTGCTGCTATTGTCTTTTGTGCTGCCGATGAGGCTGCTCTTTGATGTGCCTGTGATGAAAAGGTTAGTCCTTTTCCTTTAATGTAAACATATATCGGTGTATTAGTTTTTATTTCTTCTCAAAAGTCCCCTTTCATAAATCACTATTAAAAGGATGCCATGCCTGTTTAGAATTAGAATTCTCTCATTGTCCTAGATTGACCTGCAAAACCGAACCTTCTGATTTTAACAGTTGATGGATGTGGCAGGTCCATATGTGCAATAAGCTTGCTAGCCGGCTCATCCGGGTCGGTCTGGCAAATCCCACTGCCGTTCCTCGCTGCGACATATGTGAAAATACACCTGGTAATAAGGTGTGTTTTGTCTTTTAGTTTTGCTTTGGTTATAGAGCTGTTGAATATCAGATTTGTGATACTTATGTTCTTTCCATTGGGATGGTGCATGTAGCATTTTTTTACTGTGAAATAGATGGAACTTCCCTATGTTTGCAATGTGATATGATTGTACATGTTGGAGGTAAAAGGACCCATGGAAGATATCTTCTATTAAGGCAGAGAGTTGAGGTTTGTTGCTTCATCTTTAACAATAAATTGGGTGATCATACACTCCTCCTGGTCCTGGAGTTTAAATGTTCCCTGGGAATTTTATTGCTTCATTTTTTTCAGTTTCCAGGGGATAAACCTGGTAACATAGGGAATCCAACTTCACAAAGATGCCAAAATCAAGCAGCAGTAGAGAACCAACAAAATGACAAGGCTTCTCTTGTTCAAGGGATAAATGCTGATGCTGATGGACATCTTGAAATGGATACTGAAATGATAGATTTGAATATGAAGCCTCATAGAATACATGAGCAAGCCTCTAACAATTAGGTAAGAACACAGGATCCTCTTCTTTCACAGCATTTGAAACACATCGTCTTCTCGTCGGCAGCCCTTTTTTGAACTTTGATGCAACATTCTGATGTATGTTTCTTTCTTCTTACTCTTCTTTTTTTTTTCATTTTATTTTATTTAAAGGAACAATAACTCAGTGTTGTCGGCAGCGGAGACGATGATAAGGCCTCATTTTATATGTTTGTTCACAGCACCATAGCTGCTCAACTTATCATCTCCTAGCATAGTTTCAATAGAATAGTTTTCTTTCGTATATAAATTCTTAATACTGTCTCGTCTGACTTTTTAAATGTTTATTTTATATTTATAATTTTTTTATAATTTATAATTTTTACTTTTAAAATTAATTGAACCTTACATCTTTTAAACCTGAAATAATTAGTTTTAACTTTAGAAAATTCTACAAAGCTCTACGAATACCACTAACGATGAGTATAATTAATTTGATTTATAAAAATTTAAAATTTTAAAGGGTTTAACGTATAATTATAAATTAATTAAAATTTTAAAGATAAATTATTTAAAATAATAGGTAAACTATACCGGTGACTAACTAACTATTGTCTCTTTTCATTTTTACCACCATTTTTGAAATTTTGTCAATCAGATCATTCAACTTTTAAATGCATCTGATTAAGCCACTTGCTGTTAATATTTAACAGAGAAGCTGATATGATAGTTAAAATATTTGGTATAATTATACATTTAATCACTATAACTTATATATTCTATCAATTTGATCTTAATTAAAATAAATTAAAATAAATATTTTATTAAAATGTAATTAAATATGACATTATCCAAAATGAATTTTGATAATAGATGTAGTGCTCATCGTTAGTGGTACTCATCGGTGCTGGTCAATCGTGACAGATTCGTCCTTTAACCTTTAATTGAGTTTATATACTCTAGTTTTATCCTTATCAACCCAGAGTAGTAGAATATAAGCAACTATATATATAAGAAGATAAAATCTAGGGTAAATTACATATTTAGTACCTAAATTATTAATTTTAGTTCGTTTTAGTATCTAAACTTTTATTTTTTAAAAATCATACCTATTGTTTAGTTTTTGTTTCATTTTAATACGTCGTCGTTAAAAACTTAAAGCGTTGAGTACCTAGACTATCAATATTGATCAATTTTAGTACCTAAACTTTAAGAAAAATTCAAAACTTAACGTTAAATTTGAATTGGGTTACTAAAATGAAACGAAAACTAAACTTTAAGTATGGTTCTGAAAAATTAAAAGTTTAAGTACTAAAACAAATTAAAACTGATAATTTAAGTACTAAACTTGTAATTTACCCTAAAATCTAATACAAATATAATGCAAATTACGCTGAGATGTAACGTGATTTATGGATATTACATATGCTTACATATTCACCATTATAAGAAAATTAACATCAACACCTTACAGACCATTCATTTCACACAAACAAACACAAACACACACACACACACACACACACATATATATATATATATATATCAATCAAGCAAAAAATAAAAAAAAACAAAGTCAATTCTTCTTTTATTTGTCTAAAAAGAAAACTAAGAGGCCTTTAAAGAATACTTAAAAAGAAGTTATGACGTACGTATCAATTCTATAAGTAGATTTTGAAAAATTATATATTATAATTTTATCAAAAATAAAATATAAAAATTATAATATATATAATTCATCAAAATTTATATAAATCAAATTATTATCATTATAATATAAACATATTACGATATAGATATAGATTATGATATAAATTTATATTTTTATTGTCATTATTTTAAAAATAATATAATAATAAATTTATTATTATAATTTATTTTTAAAGGAGTTTGAAGGGTTCTAAATTAAGTTTTATGAAGTTTAATATATTTATGAGTGAAATGAATATCAAATTCACATTCATGAGATTAAAAAGTTCACTAAAAAGTTTATAGAGTTCAACGATCGTGAGTGATAACGATTAACGATGACAGGTGACGAAAATTAACGGTGACTGGAAATGGAGATGAGAAGTAGTCAATGATGGGGACTTTGACCAGAACTATAGATCAAATTGATATTTTATTTAAAGTTCAAGAATTAAATTAATATTTTATTTAAAAAGTAAGGTTAAATTAATATTTCATCTAAAATTTAAGGGTCAAGTTAAAAATTAACTATATTTACTAATGTTCCATGTCATCAAACTAGGGGGCAAAATCAACGAGATAATGCGTTGAAATTTTTTTTTTCACGAGATAGTGCCCTCGCCAGATTAATTGCTCAGATGGGGTGATCTCTACAGTCCCACGTCCCTGGGGGTAGGTCGCCATGCACGCCCAGCGACCTACCAGGTCGCCATGCACGCCCCAACACGCTGGGCTTCCGAGGCCATCCGACCGAGGCCATCCAAAAGCATCCGAGGCCATCCGAGGCCATCCGACCGAGGCCATCCGACCGAGAGCATCCGAGGCCATCCGACCGAGCTATGCGAGGGAATCCGAGGGCAACCGAGCGAGCTATGCGAGGGAATCCGAGGGCAACCGAGTGAGGGTAGGTCGCCCGGAGTGCATGGCGACCTACAAGGTCGCCCGGAGGGCATGGCCTTGTAGGTCGCCATGCACTCCGGGCGACCTACCCTCGCTCGGTTGCCCTCGGATTCCCTCGCATAGCTCGCTCGGTTGCCCTCGGATTCCCTCGCATAGCTCGGTCGGATGGCCTCGGATGCTCTCGGATGGCCTCGGATGCTTTCGGATGGCCTCGGTCGGATAGCCTCGGATGCCCAGCGTGTTGGGACGTGCATGGCGACCTTTGGGGGCTGCATGGATTGCATGGCGACCTACCTAGGTCGCTGGGCGTGCATGGCGACCTGGTAGGTCGCTGGGCGTGCATGGCGACCTATATGGGGACTGTAGAGATCACCCCATCTGAGCAATTAATCTGGCGAGGGCACTATCTCGTGAAAAAAAAAATTTCAACGCATTATCTCGTTGATTTTGCCAACTAGGGGAAGTAATGATTTAGTGTTAAAAATAAGATAGATCAAACATAAAATGATGAGAATATAACTTTTATAAAATCAGTGACTATATTAGGATAGACTGGAAAAGAGGGTACCATTTATGTAATTTAGAAAAAAAGTGCACCACGCGATAAGTTTATAAGCTTCTTAGGACTTTCTCATTTGGTTTCCCGTCTCCGTCTTTCAACAGTCAACGAACAACCTTAGCTTTCTCAATAGTTTTAAGACACAACGAACCCCACCAATTTCTGAACTAGGGCGGCAAGGGGAACGGCAACGAACCCCACGGAAAATATTGAAGTACTGCAATATAGAAAAAGAATTGTGGATGAATAATAATTGTAAAAATAAATCATCCGTCATTATTTTTTATTTTATAAAATAAAATATTGTCTCTTTTGTAATTTGGATAAGACATTACATTTGACGTTCTTAAAAAATAAGCTCTATAAATTTAATGAAAATATATATTGTATAACATATATATAAATTATTTATGTAATAAGCATTCACGTTGAAGTTAAATACGCTTTATGTTATATCTAAATTAATATTCAATGTTAAAACTGATTGTTTAAAACATTATAAAATTTGAGATTGATTTAAATTTTAAATTATAATTATGCACATATAAATTTTATTTAATAATTATAACAGAACTAAAAAATAATATTTGATGCAACAAAATATTCAAGGTTTTACTATTTATATTGAAGGTATCAACCTCTCGTATAATCTAGACTGTAAGACTTGTTAAAAGCCAAATATATGAGATCGTACCCTCACATTTGGAGATAAAAGGAATATAAAATAAGTGTTTTAATCAGATCTCTTAAAGGCCATCACTAAGGTTAACATCCGACATAAATATTAGTTAATATACGTTAAAACAATTCTCAACGTTTTTATCTTTACATACATGGTATTGAATCCAAAATCTCAAAAAATAAGAATAATTAACGATTTTTTTAGAATATAGGTAAAGAGAGTGAAAAAAAAGGTAGAGCCAGGCGAGAAAGAAACATTCACGAGCTGAAATTAAATTATAATTAATTATAATTAAATTTAAGAAAATAAATAATTTAACTTTTTATATATAAAATTTAAATTATAAAATAAGATTATAAGATTGATTGATTCAAAATTTTTATTAGATTTAATTGGATCAGATACTCAATCTTATTTATTTAGTCATCAGTTCATAACTTTATGTATAAACATATTATATATATAGGGGCAGGATCCGTTTACACTATGTAACTAATAAGTTTTACACTAATTTATAGCCATTATATTTAAATAAATAAATAAATTAGATTTAATTAAAATTTATTACTCATAAATAAATATCTTTTAATTCACAGTAAAATAATATCTTCTTTTACCCTCAAATCTAAAATTCTCAAATCCCAAACCCTAAAACCATAAATAACAATTCCAAAAACATAAAATTCTAAACCCCAAACTAAAATTTTAAACCCTATACTCTAAACCCCAAATACTAAACTTTAAAACCTACCCCCTAAATTCTAAATCTTAAAGTTTAATTCCTAAAGTCTAACCTTAATAAGAAAAGTATATTATTTTACTGTAAGTTAAAATATATTTATTTATGGTTATAAATTTTAATTAAATCTAAGCTATTTATTTATTTATTTATTTAAATCTAATGGCTATAAATTAGTGTAAAACTTATTAGTTTTACATAATGTAAGTGGATCCTAACCCATTAGCTATAAATAAGTGTAAAACTTATTAGTTTTACATAATATAAGTGGATCCAAACTATGACCGCCATCCTAAATTGGCTCCCAAATTTTTTGAACATTTAAATTTCATCCCAAACTAAGGCTAAGCAACGAAACCGAGAAAACTAAAAAAATCAATTGGAATCGGACTATGCAGTTCGGTTCAGTTCAGTTCGGGTTTTTCAATTTGCGATTTGGTTTTAAAAAAATATACAATTTGGTTCGGTTTTAGTTTTTCCATATGAAAACCATTTGGACCGAATTAAAAAAATAAAAGAAAATAAGTATCCAAAACACATTCATTTTGAATTTCTGATAAGACAAATTTAAATTTATCTATTTTCACTCGATTTAAGCTTTAAATTTGTTTTTAGGTTGAGTTTGAAAAATAGTGATAGTAAAAAACCACAGAATTGAACAAAAAACTATGGTTTTTATACCCTTTAATTTCAGTTTCTATTTTTAAAAACCCGCAAAGTGTGATTCAGTTCATATTTTAATGAAAATCGAATCGAATCAAATACACCCTATCCCAAACAATATGTAGATACTAATCACATCCCTTGTTAATAAAATTATTAGGCCAAGTTTTATTGTTATGTATTTGAAAAAGACAAAATTTAAGTTTAACTATGGTTGAAACTAATTATAAATTTCTAATGAATTTGGGGATGAAATTGGAATATTCAAAAGTTTGAGGAGACCAATTTAGAAATAGTGTCATAGTTTAAAGATGAAATTAGAATGTTCAAAACATTAAGGACTAATTTAGAAAAATGTCATAATTTAAAGATAAATTTATAATATTTAACAATTTAAAAACCAATATAAAATTAATGTTATAATTTAAGGACATATGATGCAATTAATTTTAAAATTTAGATGGGATAAATATGAATAGGGTAAACTACACATTTAATACCTAAACAATCAGTTTTAGTTATTTCTATTACCTAAACTTTTAATTTTTTAAAACTATACCTAACATTTAGTTTTTATTTCATTTTAGTACACCATCATTAAAAATTTAATGCATTTTGTAACGCCCCAAATTCTGGGTTAGGATTTTTGGGTTAACCCGAGATGGTTTAGACAAGCCAAATTGCTTTGTAGGAGAGTTAGGTCTATTTAGATGTTGAGTTGAGCTTGGTTTAGACTTGGATTGAGCCCAATATAAGATAAAGAGGGCATTCTTAATTGTAGGATGAAAGAGGAGAGAGCAAAAGGGCTATTCCACCATCTTTTGAATCAAAAGCTGAAATCCATTTATGTGGGGATTATCTCACGTTGTAACACCTCTTTTTCCTCTCCATATATTTTGTCTTCTTCCTCACCCAAACTCTCAACTTCCTTCTTAGTATCTTGAACAAAAGGTTGGAGATTTACTTACCATCACTCCTAATCTGGGTTTGTAAAGGTAAGGTTACCATATACATTTCAAGAGCTTTATTTCAAGCCCTAGACACAAGGTTGTAGCTATAGATGGGTTTTAGTGGTAGGTTTAGATACCCAAGAGATTTTAACCCATTTTTGGGAGATTTAAACATTAGAGAGTATTCTTAATCTTCCATGAGCTCCCAAAACAAAATAGTAATCCATTTTTATCTTTGGTTAATGAAAGAGGTGGGAGAAAGCTCCAAGTCTAGAGAGAATGAAAAATTGACCCTCGATTGAAATTAGAGCACTTCCAACAACTAGGAAGCTAAGTTAACACATTCACAACTCTTTCATACCATTTATGAGTCATGAGAATACATCTAGTTAGAGAGGCTAATGTTGAAAAGCATAAATGAGTATTCATGGTAGATTCTTATAATTGGTGTTTTTAGCATTTTTAAATACATATTATGATCCTTTATTACTTACATAAGACTTTAAGAATGATTGGGAACCTCAGTAGGGCTTTTAGGTGGTTTTAGAATCCAAATTCATGCCCAAATAGGGGATTTCTGGGTTCGAGTACTAGTACTAGAAGAAAAGTACCAATACTTTTCGTCAGATAGCTTAAAAATATAAGAGTTTAGGAAGAGGAGTATCGATACTCATCCAAGGAGTATCGATACGACTGTGTTGGTTTCGATACTCGTAGGGTAGTATCGATACCAATCAGACTTAACAAATTCCAATAAGCTATTTTTGTATCGATAGTCATAAGAGTATCGATACCGAGGGTAGAGTATCGATACTCCCAAATAGAGGTATCGATATCGAGGTAATTTTCAATACATCAAAGGAAGATTTGGTATCGATATCCCAAAAAGTATCGATACCCTAGCTTGAGAGTATCGATATTGGCCCAGTAGTATCGATACTACCCACCCTTCTCAGCTTGTAATAACTGTATAGTATCGATATCTCATGGTGAGTATCGATACCAACATATATTTTTGGGAAAGAAGCCCAAGGAAGTTAGAGATAATGTTGAAGGACCCAATATCCCTAATACACTATTAAATAAGACTACAAGTGAGAACCATTGATAAAATGCAATTATAGCTAGAAACAATATGAAACTTCAAGTAAGTACTTCTGTTTGGCTAAGGCATCAAATTATTCGTCAAGCACAGTTTCCAGTTCTATTTATTCAACTCATACTTCATTGTTTTTAGGCATTGCTTTGAGGGGAGTCAGCTCATCACACATACCCTTCCACACTTTAGGTGAAAGGGAGCATACCTTCCACCCTCGAGCTAGTCAGGTAGAGTTATCCTGTGACTACTTTCATTCACTCATATGCCTAGACAACCATTTATTTTTAAGGAATTTCTAGGTCATGCCTAGGGCTGTAAATGAGACGAGACAGATCACGAGCTACTCGAGATCGACTCGAGTAAGGCTCGATAAATACTCGGATTGAATGAACTCGACTCGACTCGAGTTCTTAACAAGCCGAAATGAACTACTCGATATTCGACTCGAAAAGCTCGTGAGTAGCTCGAAATATAATATATTAAGATTTTATTTTTTTAAAAAATAAATTATTAATAATATTAATATTTATGTATTGATTGTTTTTAAAAATAAAGTAAGATTTTATGTATTTAAGGTTCATGTTCGAGTTTGAGTTTGAGGCTTCAATCGAGTTAAGTTTAAGATTTTTTTTTTCATTTCGAGCTGCTCACGAGCTTCAGTTCAAGATTTCGAGTTCGAGTCGAGCTTGAAAATTTTAAACTTGCGAGTTTTCAAGTAGAGTCGAGCTCCATTTCAGAGTTTTCAAGTCGAGTCGAGCTCAGAAATACTCGAGCTCGACTCGCTCGTTTACTCCCCTAGTCATGCCATTACACAGAGGAGTGTCCCTCTAATTCAACAAAATTTAAAACTAAGAAGTTCGACTTAAGCTTTACAATTCTTCAATGTCACGACATGCAGAAAGTTCTTTCCTAAAAATTTTCTAAGCATCTTAAGGAGAGAAAGCATACAATAATGTTTACAAGTTCACAAAGAATCAAGCCTAAGGTCGGTTCTATCCTTCAACAGTCATGTAAAATAATTCTGACCTAGACGATAAAATTTTTCTTTCATAATCAAGCATCCTCAATTTATTCCAAACAACAGTCTAAACATATTCATGCCATGACAACCAAATTTTTTTAACCAATTATAATCAACTGTTATTAACTAAGTGTGAGCACGACACCTTCCCAAACTTGAGGGGTGCATTATCCTCAATGCATTAATAATAAAACAAACTACATTAATCTAAATGCAAATGCAATGGAAAGAAAAAGTACCTTAATGTGGTGGTGAGGCTTGACTGGACACACTGGTTCTGTATCTCTTGAGTGGAGTGGGCTTTTGGATCCAGTATCTCCCGAAAGAATTGAAGAGGGAGATGATAGAGTGACACGACCAGCTGTTTGTTTAATGCGATGGCTTGTGCTCGGGGCACTAGCTGGTGATGGCCTTTTCTCAGTGTGGGTGGCCTTTTTCAGGGTCATGAACTGGTGTAGTATAGAGATTCGGGGACTGTTCAGATACTTGTTATATTGTGGGCTGATCAGGGACCGAAATGAAATCATCATCATAAAAAATTCTAGTGGGATTTCCTGAGTGTTCTCGGACGAAGTGAAGGAGGAGCTGAGATATTCATCTATCTTATCGTGGTCTTCTTCATATATAGGAGAGACATACGTGGCAAGAAGAGGGACATCTACGGGGAACTCGGGTGGAATGTTTTATGCCAAGGTATGAAATGTACTGCCACCTAAAGGTGCTGTGCATTTCAGGATTTCATTTGGAAAGGACGAATGTCCTTATTGGTAATCGGGAGTAGCTCGTTGAAGAAGGCATTTAGCTGTGTATCCCTTGACTTGACATAGCTGAAGATAGTCTGCATGTGACTTTCCAGATGCTCTAGTCTCTCTCGCGTCTCTCTAGTAGATGTGACCATGGTTGTCATTCTTCCTGCGATAATTGATTTCGCTCCTCGTTCCTGACCCTTATGTGGAGCATTGTCATCAAAGCTCATAAGTTCGTGCACCTTCTTTTTAGTGATGCTTTTCTTTGACTTGGTAAAGTCCTCGAACAGCTCCTCAGGGACTTTTTTCTTTATGCATAGTGCAATTATCAAGTTAGGAAAAAGAAGGTTACCTCATTTTCTCTTTGCACAGTCATGAATTTGCTCAAAGATTATCCCCCTAACATTAATCGCTCGCCCATAAATGATCGAGTGCAGTAGCATCAATCGCCTCACAATACTGGTTTGTTGTGGGAAGTAGGCATCACCTTGCATTTCAAGAAATGCTTTCACAGCTTTACAACTGACTTAAGGGCTCGACGATCCACACACTTACGAATTGGCACATTTCCTTCAAACTTGGCCCAGTCAAAACACAGGTCTTCCAGTACACCATCGTATGTTTCTTGATCTGCCTCGGTAAGGAATTTTTTATGTTGATCCTCTACCTTGCCCAGCTTGAAATAGGGGTTGAGGGCTGAGGGAGAGAACCAGATGGATTTACCTCTCATATAAACATTGTGTTTGGATGGGTCTTCTATATGAGCGTAAAATTCGCAGACCATCATCGGTGCCACTGCCTTTGGATGCCAGGAAAATTTCTCCCATTTATGCTTCTTTACTATGTCCATTACCTCTTCTCCGAAGGGTTCTTCACCCTCCTCTGGAAAGACAAAGTCGTCCTCCAAATATAGTTGCAATATTTTTAGGTTTTTAACTTTGCTTAAGCCTCGACATTTTGGAAATGCTCAAATCCTGAAGCAGCAACAGATGAGGTAGACGTGGCTAGTTTTTTTCTTGGATCTAGCCATGGTGTTTGTTGTGACATGGACTATCGTGGCGGCAAAAGATGTAGAAGTAAAAGGAAAAAATGTTGAAGAAAAAAGGTTGAAGGAAAAAAAGACAAGGAAATGGTGAAGAGAAAGGAGAGACGGGTGGTTTTGAGGAAAAGTAATGGGCAAAATTATTCAGGAAAGAAAGGAAAACTCTTGGGCATCGTGAGTTATTGATACTGGTTTATCGTGCATGATGGGTGCTCCGTTGTATGCCTTCAATCGTTCAGCTTGCATGGGAATAGTTTAAGTCATAAATTGTAGAGCTCTAAGAAAAAATTGTCTGGAAAAATTTTTCTATCATGCTATCGTTTTATTTTTTCTTTATAGAGACGGACATTTTCGTAAGCTTGAGCTCTAATCTCATCGATTTCTTTCAGTTTTAGTAATCTTATTTCTCCAACAAGTTGGGCATCCATGTTCAATTTCTTGATGACCTAATATGGTTTATGTTCAAGTTTCATAGGCAAATGGTACTCCTTGCCATATACTAGCCTGAATGGGGACATTCCAAGTGGTGTTTTGAATGTTGTGTGATAGGCCCATAGCTCTTCATCCTGTTTTGGTGACCAGTCTTTGTGGTTTGGGTTAACCACATTCTCGAGGATCTATTTGATTTCCCAGTTAGAGACTTTGGCCAACCCATTGGTCTAAGGATGTTATGTTGTGGCAATTCGACGACGCACTCCATATCATTTCAGCACATTCACAATTAATTTATTGTCAAAATGTGTTCCTTCATCGCTGATAATAGCTCATGGTGTTCCAAAAAGCGTAATTATGTTTTTGTGTAAGAATTTCAGCACTATCTTGGAATCATTCTTGGGAGTTTCCATGGCTTCTACCCACTTGGACACGTAGTCCACAACCAAGAGAATGTATAAGTCACCAAAAGATGAGGAGAAAGGTCCCATAAAGTTAATCCCCCATACATCGAAGAATTCAACCTCCAAAATGTTTTGCCATGGCATCTCATTTCTCTTTGATAAGCTCCCAATGCGCTGGCATCGATCACATGACTTATCGAATTCATGTGCATCTTTGAACAAGGTAGACCAACAGAAGCCGGATTGAAAGACCTTTGTTGCAGTACTCGTTCCACCAAATTGCCCTTCATATGGGGATGAATGACAATGAAATAGAATTTCATTGTATTCTTTTTCTGGGACACACCTCCTGATTATTTGGTCGCCACATTGCTTGAATAGGAATGGTTCATCCCAATAATAGTGTCGTACATCATGTCTGATTTTTTTCTTCCATGGCTAGATAAATCTGGAGGCATAATACCAATAACAAGAAAGTTAACTATGTCAGCGTACTACAACACAGTCGTGACAAATAAAATTTTCTTGTCATGGAAATCCTCCTGAATGATTTTCATGTCATGACAAATGATTTTGTTTTCTAGCCTAGACAAGTGATCTGCTACTTGGTTTTCAGTATCCATTCTATCATTTACCTCTAAATCAAATTCTTGCAGTAATAATATCCATCTAACGAGCTAAGTCTATACATCTTTTTTATTAACTAAGTATTTAATGGCAGAGTGATCAGTATGCACAATAACCTTAGTCCCTATGGGATATGACCTAAACTTATCGAATGTAAATACCATGGTAAGAAGTTCTTTTTCAGTAGTGGTATAGTTCATCTGTGCATCATTAAGGGTACGACTAGCATAATAGATGACATGAAAGAGTTTATTTTTTTGTCATAGCACCGCCCCAACTGCATAGTCACTAGCGTCGTACATGAGCTCAAAAGGGACGCCCCAGTCAGGTGGAACAACAATTGGCACCGAGGCAAGTTTTTTCTTCAGATCTGTAAAAGCATTCAAACAATCATCATTAAACATAAACGATTGATTTTGTTGAAGCAAAAGACCCAAAGGCTTTGTGATTTGAGAAAAATCCTTTATGAACCGCCTATAAAATCCCGAGTGTCCAAGGAAACTACGTATGCCCTTTACAGTGGTGGGTGGAGGTAGATTTTCGATTACTTCCACCTTGACTATATCCACTTCAATACCCTGGCAAGAAATCTTATTACCTAACATAATTCCTTTGGTTACCATAAAATGATATTTCTCCTAGTTTAGCAACTGGTTGGATTCTTCGCAACGCTTTAGCACTTTAGATAAGTTGTCGAGGCATCGATCAAAGTCATCACCCGAGACGGAGAAGTCATCCATAAATATTTCCATGAAGTCTTCCACCATATCTGAGAAAATGGCCATCATACACCTCTGAAAGGTTGTTGGAACATTACATAGTCCAAACAATATTCTTTAAAGTCATAGGTACCATACGGCCATGTGAAAGTAGTCTTCTCCTGATCCTCCGGTGCTATGGCTATTTGACTGTATCCAAAATATCTGTCAAGGAAGCAGTAAAATGCTTTTCCTGCTAACCTAACAAGCATTTGATCAATGAAAGGGAGTGGAAAATGATATTTCTTTATTACTTTATTGAGCTTTCTATAATCCATACATATCCGCCAGCCCGTGACTGTTCTAGTTGTCAAAAACTCATCATTCTCATTCTTAACCACGGTCACGCCACCCTTCTTTGGCATGCATTGCACTGAACTGAACCATTAGCTATCGGATATTGGATAAATTACTCCAACATCCAACCATTTTATGATTTCCTTCATCACTATTTTTTTTCACTATCGGGTTAAGTCTTCTTTGTGGTTTCATAGAATTACTATGACTATCTTCTAAGTTAATCTTGTACATGCATATGGTAGGGTTGATTCCCTTCAAGTCTACCATGGTCCACCTTAGAGTTTTTTTGTGCTACAACAAAATAGTTAACAAACTGTCCTCTTGCTCGGAGGTTAGACTAGCAGAAATTATCACCAGTAAAGTACCATTACTACCTAAATAAGCATATTTCAAATGTGATGTCAAAGTTTTCAGTTCCAATATAGGTCATGTTGTAATGATGATTTTGGGGAAATGAATTCATTGAAGTCCAAGGGGTCGAATCTCATACCTGGTCTAGTTTGAAGAAAGCTAGACTTTTCCTCCTTCACTAATTTATCCTCATAACCCGCTTT